CCAGGACTGAGGAGAAGCAGAGCTTTTCAGTCTACTACTACCTAATACACCAGACCTTTCTGGGTTGAGACTATGGGCATTTTACTGCAACCTGGAGTACTTAAAACAACCTCCTTTTCAGCCCCAACCTGGTCAGTTATATCCAGAGAATATGAGCATCATTTTATTTGCCTACTTGAGGGAGATGCATAACAGAGAAGAGGAGACTATGCTTCTCCTTAGGGCCATAGTAGCCTTTCTTCCCATAGCAGTTCCAACTTGCAAAGACATTACTCATCTTAAGTGTAAAGCGTGAAATTCTCAGTAGAACATATTACAGAAGTCTAAACGTTATGACCATATCTAATATTCTCTCTATTTTAAGTATCTCTATTTAGTATGTCAGCTTAAACTCTATTCATAGGATATGTCACTGGCATTGCTAATTTTGAGTGTCTCTCTTCCATATAATGAATGATTTCAATTATTTTTCCACTTGCTTGCATTTTTCCAGTTGGCATCACATCTCGTTTCACACCCTTACTTCTAACTTCTTTTTTGCTATGATACCATGGTAATTCTAAGATTAAAAACAAAGATAAAACGTTCTCATTCATTCTCTCGCGTTCCCTCTTATCTGAAGCACTTTCCACTTTGGCATACATATACATTTAATGAAATATTGTATTGCTTTTCCTTTTTCTGTACAACCGATAAAGTTGCTATTAAGTAAGACATGATCTGACGGTTCTATAATACACTGGCCACTTTCTCAGAATTCACTGCTTTGGACAGATTTAATTCCATGTAACTGGAGTTTTACAACATGACATCTAGTCTCTAATTATGACACGAAACTAAATAATGCTACGTTTGGTATTATGAATTCTTACCATAAGAACACTAATTATTAGGTATTTAAAAATACTTCATTACTTTTCCATAGAAAATGGGTATACCAAGGTAAAAACGAGTTAGTTTGGGAACCAATTACCTATTCTAGCACACAGTCAAAACTATGTACTTTCAAAGACTTACATAATATTCCTATTCAGCAAATTATTTGACCACATGTCTAAAGTGCTTTGCTGATGCTCAAATACATTTAACACTTGGTTCTGTGTTTCAGCATATTGACTTATATACCACATCCTCCCGCAGCCAGTGCCTTACAGAGTGGAAAAGAGTGGTACAACTTATCAAAGAAATCCTTTGAAATTTTCAGGTGTTACTGGTGTAATTTTGTATCATGTTTCAGTGTCCTTGGAATATTACAGTGTAAAACATATGCCATATGCAGATGTAGGTTGTAGAAAAGCCAGAAAAGACCAGAGATTGCAAAGCACTTCACCCTCCAAACAATGCTACAAACACTGTGCTATAGAGGAAGCATACACAACAGATTTGGAATGTAATACCTACAATTTGGAAAGCATTTTTCCTGAATTTTGTGGGTATACTCAGGAGTATTTAAGGACCTTCTGTAAGTGGTGTCAAAAAGTTATCAGAAAATGAAACTGTAAGACAGAATTCTTACAGAAACCATATAAAACATACCTAAATAAATAAATTTGCTATCATGTATATACTGCTGCTCTGGTGAGATCTAATCACATTTGAAATATGGAAGACAAAGAGGGTGATTACTTGGCTTAGAGAGGGGATAACACTAATGACAGCTTCTTAGTTTTGCATGTGCTTATAAAGGCTAAATCAAAATTTTTACTTCCCTACAAAACCCCCTCCACTGACATGACTGTTCTCTGTGCCTGGGATGCAGTTGTTATAGTTATATCCACATGGGTTTTGCTCAATGGCTTTTTATGATCACACTCCATTGTAGCTAGTTCTTTTAAAGACTAAGTCACAGTCCTGCATAAAATCAGAATTTAAAACTAATCTCTAATATGGCTAGAATGGGTAATCAAAATCATGCATTTCCAGGGAAATGGATGATCAAGAGAAATTTGTACTGGACTGATCCCATAAGAACTGGTATCTGTAATTAGTCCTTATGAAACCACTAAGCATATTGCCCATATGGAAAGATGAATGTCCATGACATGGCGCCAAATGTACGTGCTGTATGCAGCACTTAGGGGATGTTTTGGGGGGAAAGGAGGAGAGACAGAAGAGTTACTGAACAGAAAAGCGCGTTTGTTTCCCATATTTATCAATTCAGAATTTTCTAGATACAGGGAAAGTGCATTGCCACAGTCAATGGTGACCATGTAAAGATGATTTCTAAGAGAAGCATAAGCTATCCCATTGAAAAAATTATAATTGGAGGAGGAAATTTTGTAAGACTTGTTTTAATGAGCAGAGTTTGGAAAAAAATTTCCTGATAAGTTGCTTCTGAAGGATTTCTTGCATCCGTGATTGTAATACTAATCCCTGACTGACCTGCAAGTCGTAAATGTTTCTGTACTGGATTGAAAACCTTGAAAGCCAAGACAGGAGAAATCTCACAAGCTCTGCTCTGTTGATATAAAATGTAACTATGTTAAAAAAAAAATAAAATTCTCTGTTTAAGGCATGTGGCGATACTTCTTAATCAAAGTTTGGCTTTAAAAACACGGTATTGTCCCCTACCCCCTTCTTTTATTGGTCAGTTAAGTAAAGTAAACTTATTCAAGTGCCTGTCCAGATATTTCCCTCTATGGCAGGCAGACAAACAGACTTAATATAATGTGACAGATACATACTGAAAAAGAAAGAGATATGTAAGATAAAACAGAACAAAGCAGCCCTCACTTAAATTTTGTTGCATTTAGAATATGAGAGTAGTGGTTACATTTTGAGAGGCAAATTAGAGAAGAATCAGTTAGCTGAAGTGTTCTAGCTCAGAGACACAGGATTTTGGATGTTGGTTCATTTTTCAGAGCTAAGACTCAGCTGTTTCACATTTAAAGGAGGACTTAAAATTAGTTTTATATAGCTAAATCTGGATGGAAACCTGTTCCCTAGAACAGCTTCGTGCTGTACCTTTGGTTCCCACTTTCTTTCCTTCTGTTCAGCAATGCTTGGCTGCTTCAAGAGGAGAGTTGTAGACTACTCATACAATGGCCTACAGCCTGGCAGTGAAGTCAGGAGCTCTGAATACAAGCCTCTAAAGGCTGAGGGGACATTAGGACCTAAAATTTGCACCTCCTGCCACTAGATTCGTCTGCAACGGAGGGTGAGAAAAGAATGGGGATTGACATCAACAACTGGCTTCCTAATGACACTTCTGCTCCATTAGAAGCTAGTTCACAAAAAGGCATAACTGCTGGATAAAAAATGGGTGCTGGCTTCTCCCACTTCCTATTGGCCCCTATGTATTCAGGGAGTTATATACTTAGTTTGGGAGAGGTGAACAGGATTTTGAAGTCTTTGAGGCACCTCTTTTTACTAGCTATGTAGACAACTTGCACTCTAGCTGTAGGAAGACTGGATATTCTCTCCTTCTCCTTTCTTTTGCTGCTAACGTTTAGGTGTCTAAAACACAGCTGTGTCCAGGCCCAACTAAGGAAGCTAAGACCTTGCCCAGAAAATCCTATATGTTCAACTACACTATATGTTCTAGTGCATCTTGACATGTACTAAAGATGTCTCCAGTGTTTTGAAATGGTATCACTGAACAAGTCACATGATATTTCACTTCTGTAATGGTTTTAGCCAGTATGGAGGATTTAAGTTGAAATATTGGGAAGTATCTGCACCATCTAGCTTTAGCCACCCAACTTTCATGCTTTGAATTATTCTCTGGAAGTAAAGTTTATCTCTCTCCAGTGATGACATCAGAAATTAAGACTCCTAAACAAAGGTGCTGTGAACTCCATCTTTCTAGAGACCTGAAGGATCAAAAACATAGTGAGGATAACTCCTGAGTAAGTCTGATATTCTCAGGCAATGGACAAAGCATAGTCTTAGGATTTTTTGAGGAGAAAATATTTGATAAATTTATATGCTAGTTGTATTGGTTGTGGAAGGAATATCCTTGCAGTGAAGTTCTTTCCCTTTCTTTGCAATGTCCTCTGAAGAGCACAATTCTGTAAGTCAAGCTTCTCCCAGAATTTAGTTTGGAAGCCTCCGTTTAAAAGGGTTGAGTGCATCACCTAATACTAATGATTATGACAATGCACTGACAAAAGTAGAAGACTACTGTAGGCAACGGTAAGAGAAAGTATTTGAGTCTTTGGTCCTCACATTTTAAACCTTTCCAGTTTGTTGCCAAAGCAGGATTTCTACGAGATAATTCATGACAAGCAATATTGAAAATTTTGCATGGAAGCCTAGCTACTATATAATGACGCTGCTGTTAGTCACAGAAATTATTCTAACACTGGAGCTGAGAACATACCATAGTCAGAATTGGTGCCTGGTTGCAGTATGCAATCAGCTTCCAATAGCAGCCAAAAAGCAATAGCAGCCAAAACCCCCTATCAGTTCATGCAGCAAATCCAAACCGTAGAAACATCCTTGTTACAGTAAGCAGTTAAGACATTACAAGCTTCTAGGTGGACATATTTCAGAGTTGCTTATTTTGATTTAACTAGAATATATTCTACGTGGATCTAGGCTTGTGTGAGTCTATAGTCTAGCCTGGAAACAGTAGTAGGAATCTTTGGAGATGATTGAGCCAAAAAGACTGAGTAAAAAGACCTGAACAAGCAGCAGTCATGAAGCATAAAGTAATATGGAATCTATAAAGAAAACATAGTAACTTCACAGGTATTGCTAGTTGTCATGCTACAAACACAGCCTTTAATGAATCATCTTCATATATATAATTTCAAAACAAAAAAGTATGTCTACTCTTTTAGTCTGAGGCCAAATCTCGATGCACCTGAAGCTTTCACTAATAATAATATAGCTTTATGTATGTTTCAGAATTTGGTCCCAGAAAATATCTCAGGAAAGAACTAAGAGAATCAGTAATTTAATGGAATGAGACATCCAACTGCTGAACATTTCTGTTTGCATATCTTGCAGAGCTTTCTGCAAGACTATCTTTAACTAGAATATATGGAATTACTTACTGTGCAAAGTGTCTCAAATGTCTTTTCGGAGACAAAGGATCCATCAAGACCAAAAAGAAAAATAGATGCGTAAGAAAGCATCCCTCCAAGGATAATAAGGTTGTTCATGTAGGGACTGGACATCTTTATTAGTCTATGGACAAAAGGTGATAGTGCATTAAAGAGGAAAGGATTACTGCTAGGCTATTAGAGCAATAAAGAAGAGCTTTTTGTAACCAGGCAAACAGATAACCCTTCTTGTATAACTCCATGAAATCTATAGGCATGCACACTATTTGCTGTTTTATGAAGTCTAGCATTGTTTCAGGTTTTTGAATGTTTAGTAAAAAGACCTTCTATTTTACTGATGGATTAATTAGCTAGGGTTAATGTTAATAGCAGACAGTCAAACATAAATACAAAAATTACACTTTCCAGACAATATAAAAGAATTCATCTTAACAGACAGACAATCTGTTTCAATGTGAATATATTACAGTGATTTCAATTAAATAGTTCTAAAATACTGTCCTTCCACAGTTTTAACATTTTCCTTATATATAGATAGATAGATAGATAGATAGATAGATAGATAGATGACAGACTCTACAAACATGACATTTAAATACCAAAGATGTAGTGACAGAAGTAACATGAATGCCTTACTTCTGATTTCTGTTTTTGATGTTGAAGAACAAGAAAGCACTGGCCATTATCATTCCTAGGATGGTGAGGGCAGAGAGGATGCTGTAGAGAGGCAGGGAGATCTTGCGTAGCTCCTCTTGTATAATTGTTTTGTCCTTTGGAGGCTCAAGGCCTAGAATTACAAGAAGAAAAAAAGGCTCAGCCAGATGTAGAATTTCTGTAAGAAAATTTGCCTCTCCTGAGTACTATACCTCAATTTGGCAGATTTAGCAACTGTGAACCACATCAGTAGCTGATTAAGTCATTGACTTTGACAGACATATGTTAGTCACATTGATTGACAAGAAGGTTTGTATTTCTGAAGCAGGTAAACATCCTCTTTGGAAGAAAAAACACAACAAAACCTTAATGTAGAACCCCATAAAATATATGGTAACTATCCTCATTTTAAAGTGTAAATAAACACTAAAATGCATGCTATGACTGTGAAGGTTACCAGGAAGTTAAGCTTTCCTGAAAAAAGTGACATATTGTCATCATCACCAGGGCAAATTCAAACGGCCTGTCTAGATACGTACCACAGCTGGAGACCAGCCTTGGTGTGGCATCAGTGGGGCAGGGACTGACAGCCCCGGGGGGCTGAAATGGGGTCTTGGGCTGTGGGCAGAGTGGGGGAAGCCCCAGGACGGGGGGGAGGCAGGGCTGCTGGTGCCCTCAGGACTCTACGGAATGGAACAACAGGGAAAAATGGATAGCAAAGTTTTTATAGGGACAGACCCACTTTGCAAATCCCTGCAGATGTGGACTTGAATGTCTGAACTTAAAAACTATGTTTAAAGCCATGTGCTTGATAGACATATAGTTCCACTAATTAAAGGCTTCTCAGTTTAATGAGAAGAATTACTTTCCAACAACTGCAATAAAGCTCTGCATTACCTACTCCCCACACTCCATTTTACCTGCTTACTAAATTTTTCCTTGCTACAGGGGATTGGCAAAAGGCCTTTTGCATCACTGCCTTCCTTCAGAAAGGGATTTGTGTGCCCTAGGTTGCCTGAGCCTGTCCTTTCACATCAGCTCTCCGTGGGGCTGCGAGAGCGACCGCACAGGGCGGAGCAGCTTCATTTCACAAAACATCTGCACAGGCAGAGCTCTGTGGACTCGCTGATCACAGAGCTGTAAATAACTGACTAGCAGCTGCCATAGCTAAATTTCACGTCCACTCTTCTGCTTTGCACCTAGAAGAATATTCAAGGCTTTGTACAGGTAGACAGAATGTTAGCCATACCAGTTAAGGTGAAACAATTCAGACAGTGGAAACTTGCTATCCTTTGATCTTTATGCCCAACATTTCTGCAAAAAAATTTCCTTTCAGGTCATCACAATAAAGTGACAGTCAAGGGGCCATTTGCTGATTTGATATTGAAGAAAAGTACCTGAGATTTTCCCCTTTTTCCCTGCCCACCTCAGAGCATGCATTTACAGTGCATGACACTTCACAAAATGAGGCAACAAGTAACAAGCCAAAAATACAATAAAGCACATGCCTGAATTAAAAGAACTAATATTAAAGAAAAAAACCCACCCTGCTGTATCTAAAATATACAGAGTATATTGACAATTTGTATTTATTAAATATAAGCAACCAGTGATTCTATAAAATGTATTTTCTTATTTGTGCAATGGCCATTCAATTCTGTTGCTTCTAATATTATCAATTATTGTTCTCTTATATGCAATTTTATGCAATGGTTTAAACAGGGCTATATTTACTACTCTTCATTTCAAATACTTAAAGTTACTAAGTTTTTTGTACTGCCTGGAAGATGTAACAACAGCGTCCTCCACACCATATACATGACCACCTCAATGAAAAATTAAGGTGTGTAAATGGAGAAGGTTCACTGTGAGTCACATTATGTATCTTAAGACAAATCTAAGACAGGCTATGTGTGGAAGGAACACCAGATGCAGTCAGAACAAGAACTAGGAGTCTGATCCTGAAAAAAGTCTGAAAAGAGAATTTTTCCCATCATCTACTATCCATAAAGGCATGGAGTTATGAACAAAACCTGTCTCCTGTTACCTGTTTCAACTTGCATATTTTCTCTGGAAATTAATGGTATTGAATCAGTATTCAACTACATCATCCGTTCCTCCTTGCAGCAAAAATAATCTGCTGGGTCCCTGACTTTGGCAACCGGGACAGATTCTGTACTCTTAATTTCCAAAGCCTCATTCTCCAGACAGCTGTGAGAAGTACCTGTAACTGTGCTCTTTTAAGTCCAGCAAATGATACCAAAAGAAAAGCTGGAAAGCTCCAGCAGACGGATGAGCAGTCATGGGTTGGATCACTGCAGTGATACTCCAGTCATGCTCATGTAAACCTTGAGTGTTGGGACACTGGAGGCAGGTGTAGTGGAGCACGGGATACAGCAGCTTGATACTCATCCAGCACTCCCAGGGGAAATCACATGGCTCTCATGAAGCTGACCTTATTTACTCCCATTACTGAATTGCACCATAGCAGAGCTCAAGATTAAATCTTAATTATTAGCTTTAAAAAGAATGTATATGTTTATACTCAGTGGTAGAGTCCCTTAAAAATTCATTTCAGCTGACATCGGGCTGCCATGATGACATATTCAGAAAGGCGTGGGCATGCCCACACCCCAGCTGCTGTGAGGGCAGAGGAAGTCCCCGTGTTAACTTTGGAGCAGCCTGGGGAAAAAAACCTGTGAGATACAGCAACACAGGCTGTATGCCTGCTGTTGGGAGTGCTGCTGGGCTGAACACCCTCCCTAGCCCTGTTTCACATGGGCCATCTTAAAGCTAGCCTTGATATTTTGAAACCTTATTTTCTAATTGCCTAACAGACACCTCCCAAAGAAAAACAACCACCTCCTTCTTGATTGTGCAAACATAGCACATGAGAGCATCCTTCAGGTGAGATGAACTGGCAGAGTGGGAAACGGGGATGAAATTAGAACGTTATTGGTTGGTGGAGATGAAATAGAAGACATATCTGCAGCTTGTTGAGATATGAAAGAACATTTGTATACACATATAAATTTTAATTTTTCCTGGTCCTTGGAATGAAAAACAATTATACGATACAAAAACGTTGCGATTCTCTTTTCAGAATTCTCCTTCTATTTTTTTAAGCATAGATCAGTTCCATTTCTCTTTATACAGTGTCACAGCTTTTTGATATTAAAAATCCTAAAACAGTTCTTTAACAGCATGCAGTCTTACAAACTACATACAGTTCTCCATGTCATTCCTGTACCTCTTTCCAGTTTTCTCTCCTACCTTGGAACCTGATGCTGTTGTTGATTATTTCCAGTTTGTCAGCCACAGCATTGTACTCTCCCACCTTCACTTCCTTTCTTTCTGCAGAGAAACAAGCAAGAGTGATTGTTTATGGCAGTTCACGTGTTCTCAATTATTTAACTGATTTTACCTTCTTTTTTTTGACAATATGTCAAAAGGGAAAGAAATATGCCTGAAATGTATGAATTATTAAAGCAGAATGCCAGACAGCTAACAACATTAAAATAAACATTTTTGATTCTTTAAAGAAATGCAAAAAGTATTTTTAAGAACTCTTTTACATAATCAGGGAATTGTTGTTACTGGGCACATACATCTCCAGCTTAAAGATCACACACTTACTTACTGGCTCACACAGTGTAGGACATTTTCCTGGGAGAATAGACATGGCTAAATCACACGTTCCACTCTCACTTAAACAACTAGGACATCTTGCTTCATGAAATATTTCCCAGGGGAGTCGTAGTGACAGGCTCCAGCCAATATGGAGTAGACTGGCTAGTTAACAAATATGCTGGGAATCTAATCTCTTATTCTGACTGGGAATTAACAACTCGTTAGTACCCTGACTGCAAAACATACTACGTTATACAATTAAAGCCAGTGTGCACTTGAGCTAAAATTTTACTGTTACTCTCGTCTGCTATTTTGGGACTATCATCACATTAGGCCTTCTTGTGCCCAATGGAGTAGAGTAACGCAGATATAGGAGCTTAATTTGTTTGGCTGCTGCCTTGGCCACAGTAGGTGGATCTCAGGCGCACATTTGTCCCACCCTTCCGATGACATCTGGCATCAATTAATTTCTGCTATTTCTGTTGGGATTTTGGTATGGCTTAGAAGTGCAGGAACTTACTAAATTATCACTTTTACACTAGAACTTTTACATTTTGATCAGAGACTTGTAAACCACAGGCGCATTGGCTAAAGTTTTCTTTGATGAGCTGGCTCAGTAGAGCCAAAAATTTTCTTTCAGGCCTCTATGTCTGGGCATGCACAACTCAATTTACATTTAAATTCTGAGATCATGACCCTATTTGTGACACTGATTTTGGAAGCTGATGATCTTGAACTAGATGGCAAATTTGAAAAGACTGTATTTCACCCAACAGCTCCACATTAACCTTTTCTCCTTTCTCACTCAAAGTGATTGTGCCTGTTTACTTCTGCTGAATGGAGCAGCTAGCTCCATTTTAGTAAAATCTACAGGCTGATTAATACTAATCTGAGAGCTTACAGGAGGCAAAAGTTTTCTTTACATAAACCACACTTCTTATTGTTACAATTGTTTACACAGAATTGTAGACTGGGCTGCAAATCTGGCAGAGATACCTAGGCATTTGCTATACCCCCATCAAAAGCTGGAGTTTCCAGTTCTGAAAACTGATTTGCCTTTCACATGAGCATGATCCACTTGTGGGATCCTAAGACTAGTTTGGAATAAAAGCATAATCCCCCGGTCTCCAGCAGCAGTTTCACAAAGCCCATCCACATAGCATTACATACTCTTAGGAGTAAATATAAGTTTATACTTTCTGTCACTGGCTGAAAATTCTCTGTGAAATAGATATATGCATAAATCCTTGACAGTCTTAAATAATAAACTCTTCCAGCTAGTCATCTAAAAGCTAAAATGGTTACTGCTAAAACCTGAACCAATTCACTTCCAATTCACATCTCTATTTGTAGCATGACAGCTATTACCTGTAGATCTAAAGCATCAAAACACAACATAGAAAGAAGAGAGACAAACACCAGGATGCATACAAACACATAATTTGCACATTAGATGCCAGATAGTCCACAACATTTACTTATACCAAATGGGGAGGACACGCACCCCGCTGTTGGTTTAGCCACAGCTTTACAGCAACAGGCTAAAATCTGACAACTCTCATGAACAACAAAGAGAAAAGATTAATTGCTCCACAAACATTTCTGTATGGAGCAGTTACTGGCAAGAGATTAGATGTGAGAAGCACATAATACATGGGGAAGCATACACAAAAGAGAGCGTAAATCTGTGGTCTACTGATTAAGGTACTGCAATTGAGAAACTTTTTCTGTCATTGCTTCATGTGACATACAATGCCATTCCTTTTCAACATTTATAAATTCTTACACGGCTTCCTTTACAGATGAAGTAACACTGAGAATGTGCCTATGATGGTAACTGCAATGTAGTGCAATATAGATGAGGCAGCCTACAACTAGCTAGTCTGGGCACCAGGAGCTAGCCTTCACAGGAATGGAGCTCAGTAGAGCTGTCCAGAGAAACAAACTTCTGTGGCGGACTGATTTGAAGAGTGAGACTCTTTTGGACTTAGAAACCCAAGAGTGTGGAAAAAAAAAAAAAGTGTTTAGTACCTAGGAACCACATTATCAGTGCCTTGTTCCTTACAAACTGGAAAGGACAGTTCATAGAGCGCATGCCAAGGTTTATTGATGTCAAGAAATGCCATAAAGATATCTGATATCTTAAAGTAGTTACAATTGTGGAAAGTAGTCTATGAGGGAAATACACCATATTTTTATTGAGAAGAAGGATATACTATCCATATCATAGTACCATTACAGGGGTGCTGAGCAGGAGACACAAATAGTCTTTGGGCTCTTTTGTACTCCCAGCAAGGAGTACCACTACAGCTGTTGGGTTTTCAGTTTCCCAAATACAAGTGGTGACCAGTGACAAAGTCACCTCCAAATATGAATTAAAGGAAGCAAGGAGGCAACAGTACGGCTCTTTGCTCTCTTGCATCGGCAGTGTAGCTGAGGATGGGACTGCAGGCTCTGCTTTTCTATATGCCATTCCCTCAAGTTCCCTTTGGAAATTCTGAGTTATTCAAGTCAGTATACTGTTTGCATAATGTAGCTCATACCTGTCAAAATCTCTGTGTGTTCAACAAGAAAAGGACAGAAGGAAGTGGAACTCCTTCAAATAAATATACCAACAAAGTGCTTTACACAGTATTCAGAATACAGTGTTGGCTTCTTTCTGTAGTGCTGTCATTATTTTTAACTTAATCTTTCCATACTCGTGATGGAGAGATTGTATTGAAATCCCCCTGCTCAGGTAAAAATAAGGAAAAAAAATATGAGGGGAAATGTACTTGTTTCATGAGATAATGTTTGTCCATACCATGACAGGAGCAGTGTGATTTTAGAACTTGAACCTTCAGCTGTTCTTTCACACAGGAACAGAAAAATACAAAAACTAACCATCCCAAAGAAAACTGTCCCAGAAATATGTCACCGAAAATTATGCCTATCTAACAGAATTATAAACAACTAACTCTTTTCATTAATTAATTGTCACAGAATAGATTACTGATATGGCCAAGATGAAAGCCTTCTGCCAACAAAGAACTGAACTACTCTTAAAGGTGAGTTAAAATATTTTCTTCTACATATTTTATTACAGAATTTTATAGCCCACTTTAAGCAACTCCGGACAAATTACTATTTAATTAACTGGGCCATATTTCACAAAGTTAATAAAACAGATTTTTAATTGCATATCAGGTAGTTACATGTCACATGTTATTGAATAAAAGCAAAAATAATCCTGCAACTGACATCAACTGAATAAAATAAACTTACCAAAATGCACAACAGTGTTGTGATTGCCAGCATGACTGATAACCACTTACACTGAGAATTTTCAGATGAGACTATGCTTACAGTTCCTTTCACTATATGTCATAATTTCCATTTCCACTACATTTTTGTAAATATACTTATTCACACCTCATGAAGATAGTTTCTACTGAGAGATGTTTAAGGATGAGAGTAAGAACTTGCAATGCATAAGAGATGTGACAGATGGATTTCCTTGTTTTCCTCTCTGTAGACAATGCCGGCTAGCTCCTAATGACACTAAGACTTTGTCTATATCTAGAGCTTATAGCACCTTCAGGTATGTCAGTCTGACTGAAATGGTACAAACAGCCCTAGTGGTGATACAGTTAAGCCAATATAAACATGTTTACACCAGTATAATCACCGGTATAATTTATGCCTATAATAGTAAGGACACTCTGAAATACTACAGTATCCTATGAAGTTACAAAAATATGTATATTGATATCTGATGCATTCATGAACTCCTACATGTCTAGTTGATTATACCAATGTAAAAAACTATGTCTAGCCCACCAGATCAAAGACAAATTAATAGGTCTGCCCTAGCATTACCGTGGTGCCGAATCCACATGGCTGTAAATGAAAATTAAGGACCACAAAGCTCTAAATAGCTTACCGTAGCTTGACACTACTAGTACTTTGTTATGTCTGCAGCTCTTTATAAAGTTAGAATTCCATGCAAACTACAAACATATGCAAGTGATGAGTATTCACTTTCCAACAAATATAAAGTAATTTTAAAGTAAATTTAATAAACTTACTATGGACTATTCTCCAGATAAGCTAAGGGTCACTAAGGTTTCTCATCTAAAGGACACTTAGGCTATTCTCAATTGAGAAGCAGCAGAAAAAAGACACAACCTATAGCTGAAAGCATACACAGTTATCTCGGTCTTAGTTTGTCCCGAAAAAACATCCTTGCATAAGGTGCCACCTCCATGTCTCCTTCTCTTTGAAAAGTTTTTCAAATTTTTTTTATATAGCTCCTCCTGCTTCTCCACTCCGGAAATTATCACTGTACTCCCTGAGAACCTTCCTCTGACATCAGTTTAACAGTCCCTTCTCCCACTCTTTGTCAGCTGCCCCTCTTGCTTAACCATCGTAATTCAGTGGGAGCGATTAGATGCTTAGCACATTAGAAAATCTTGCTGCATATTCAGCACTTAGCATCCCGTCTCAGGATCCAATATTATTAAACCTTGTCCTACAACAGAAACATTTAGCTCTTGCACATTGTTCCTCATCCATGCATCGCAGCCCAACAGCTATGGGAAATATTTACTCATCAGACCTCAGAAGAATTTTGGAAAATGCCCAAGTGGGGTCCAACAGGTGAAACTGAGAATGCACCATACACACCTGAAATGCTTAAAGATCCTTAGGAAGAGAATGACACTTAAATTTGGAAAGATTTTAAT